AATTCAAAAAAAAAAAAAAAAAAAACCAAAAAAAACCCTGACCTGATTCTTTGTGACGACTAGATGCTCTGAATAGCTTCATCTTTATTGAACTTCTATTTATTTAACCTTAATAAATAAATGTATCAAGTTGCCTTTATTAAATTATTTCTTTAATTATAAGTAATCAGAGTTGCTCACTATTCAGTGCATTGGATGTTGGCATTTTAGGGTTGGCCCTTTTATGAGTAATGTAAGTAGGGACATGTTTTCAGAAGTTTCTGTACATCTTAGAGGTCTGTCTCATTGTCGTGCAGCTCTTGGACAAGTTACATTCTGGCTTTCCCGTTGCAAATAAAATGAAAGTCATTTTATTAAAGCTAGTTAGACCTTTTCATATTTCCTTTCTTAATGGCATTGTTGCAGGGCAGAGATCAGCTTGTGTGGGATTGATAATGAAGTGATGTGCTAGCATGTTATATGTAATTTCTCAGGAAAGGAGTACAGAGGGCTAAAACTCTTAGGCAGTCTAGAGGAGAAGGATATAGCAAGGGCCAATGGCTGGAAGCTGAACTGAACAAATGCCCGTTAGAAATAAGGCCTGTTATGTGAGATGAAAATGATTAACCTCTGGAGCAAAGGACTAATAACCTCTTCACCATCACTTGCTATCTTGAGATCAGAATAGGATGCATACCTGAGGGTGATGCTTTAGTCGTGCATGGGTTATTAATTTCAGTATAAATGCAAGTGGATGCTGGTCAGTGGTGTGTGCTTGGTGGAGAGTGAGCTTAGATTCAGCCTTCTGGTCTCTGGCACTGTGACTATACAGCCTGTGCCTTCTATCCCTCTATTGCAACTGAAATTCAAATTGAAACCTTCATGCTGATTCCCCTTCTTCCCCTTCCCCTTCCTTTTTCCCTTTTCCCTTTCCCTTTTCCCTTTCCTTTCTTTTTCTTTTCCCCCCACTGCTTCTTTCTAGGAATTTGTGGGCTGGATATGTTATTTCTCTTACGGTCTTCAACCTCTAACTGACTTTAGGTTTCTTGGGGAGTGATATTTTTTTTTCATAGGATTTTTCTTTTGGCTCCCCTCTCCTTTCTCCAGCTTCCCCAATAGCTGCAGGAAGAGGGGAAGGGACCAAGAATCTGTCTGACTGGTTGCTGCCAACTCGGGTGTGCAGCAAGGGGGAAGAATCCTCTTGAGAGAGGCACTGCTTTCTGAGCAGTGTCCCATTGGTCCTGAGCAGTGCCTGCCAGCCTGCTACGGCATGGAGAAATGATAACTTCCTTCTGAAAACCCTGCCATGGCACAGAGCTCAGACCTAGCTGTGTAGGGGCAGTGTCCGCCTGCCTGCAAGGGCACAAAGACTGGATCTCTCTGGCCTGCTTTCTGCATTGCTGCTGTTCCCTTCTGATCCGGTCCAGGGCTGTCGTCAGGGTTGTTTTATTACTCTCTCACACAGCAGGTATGTGCAGGCACAGTGCTGAGTTGCATTGTCCTTTGAAAAGGAGAGTACAAAGGAGGTTTAACACAGGACTAATGTAGCTCTCCTGTTGCCTAGACAAAGTGTAAAAATGGATCCGAGTTAAATGGGTTTTCATTTGTTTTCTTTGCAGCTCCCCGGGGAAAGAGAGGCTGGAAAACCTTTTATGCTGTGCTGAAGGGAACGGTCCTGTACTTGCAGAAGGTAGGGGAAATCACTGTCTTTTGGAAACTAATTAAAGAGGGATAAAGAAGCAGGCATCCTCTCCGCTCTCACAGCCCACCTCCAGGCTCCTTTCCCTCCAACACACAGCGTAGCTGCTCTCTTTGCACCCTCCCGACATTCAGGCATGAATCCTTTCATTGACACCCTCCCCCTTTTACACTTTCAAGTTCAGTTCCATTGTCCCCATCCACATGTGCACCCTTATCAATTCCAGTTTGTATCACTGCTGTCACTCAAGGCTGAAAAAATAGCCAGCTCCATCAGTAAAGACAGCATAATCTCTGTGTCTTGCTGCATTCTTCTAGGCTGCTTTTAACACTGATTTCATACATATGGCTTCCCCTCCTGTAAGGCTGTCCTCCTTTCCCATCTTTTCATAGTATACTTATCTGCAATGCCTGCAAGGGCAGCTGCAAAACAATTGAATACCAGCTTGGCCTTAGTCGGAATCTGCAGCTTCTGCTCCATAGAAAAATTGAAGGATAAAAGGATACTTCCTTTTTTTTTTCCGCAAAGCAAGATGAGATGCTGGTTTCTAACAAACTTTACTCCCTGACAGCAAGAAGTCTAAAAAAAGTCAGCTGAAATCCTTCAAGTCTTTTGGCACAAGCTTAAATATATTATAGCACAGTTTTAACTATTCTCTTGGGACATGAAACGCAACATATGAGTGAGAAGTGTCAAAATCAAATAAATGGTAGCAGCTAAGTAGATTGTTAAGGCTTCCCCCCCCCCCAGCATAGGTGAAATATTCATTAAAGAGGTGGTGTTTGTCTGAAATGCGCCATATTGTAGAATTATGCTCCTTTGAAAGCCTTTTTACATTTCCACTATATTTTGCAAATATCAGAGTGCAAGTTCAAGTGCACACTGGCACCCTGCTGTGACTTTCTGAAGTTATTGGTTTCATTGAAGCCAACCTGGATAGTCTGTGAGAAGAGAGTAGCATGGATGAAATTGTTAAAGCATGAGGTTTAAAAGGTGGATGATTTGGGTGCACTACATTTTTGAGAGGGCTGAAATCCTGAAGCAAACAAAACAATCTGCAGTCAGGAGGGAAGATTTGGGCTGAAAATTGGATGTGACATGCTCAAAGCCAGTGCAAGAAACTAGAACCAAGCCAGCTGAATCATGACTGAGCCTTTCCTCTGGTCCTCTTGCTGGCAGCAGGTTCAGATTTTACTGAAGTCGCCTTTGTGGCAGGTTTGTACTTGCCCTTTCCTGGGTGAAATGGAGTCACTTGCTTTGATTTCTGAAATAAGTCCTCTTTAGTGTTCACCTGAAAAGACTGCATGGTTCTCAAGGAAGCAAGAAGGCTCCTTGTCCATGACACAGTAATTAATTCCTTATTTGATCTTTGAGGGGGAATTAATAGGCTTTCAAGGGAAAGAAACTGAGATGCTGTCTATTTCAGAATCTTAAATACTTTTGAGTGTCACTGCATATCAGTTCAAAACACTTCCTGTTTGACAAAATATAGAGAAGGTGAAGTAGCATGCAAATTTTCTACAGAATGTTGCTTTCCCCACTTTCACCCTCCATCCTTTGGAGAGCAAGACAGTAATTTCACATCTGATTGCATCTTTGCAAAATGAAATGCATTGCTGGAGTTATTGGTCTTGTTTGTTTGTTATTTGTGTGTCTTGCTCTGTCGCAGCAGTTCATTTCAGTGATTACAGGGTGGTTACTACGCAAAGCTGCGCTCTCCCACTCGGTCCTGAAGACACTTGCGCTGAAACCATCTTACTGTAGCAGAGTGACAAGCAAGACTTCTACTTCAGTGCCATAAAAGGTTGCCAGAGGGTCCTGATGGGAAGTGACTCATTCCCAGAGTGATAGGGCAGCTGTGATCCTCCCCAGGGTGCCTCCAGCCCCTGCTCAGCCACTGTGCCTCATGCTGCAGCTGTGAAACATACTCTGACTTCTCTTCACTGCAGAAAGTCCAGCAGGGCTTTGCTTCAGCCCTGGAATAACCTTTGCTCTATTAGGGATGTGATATCGCAGGAGTTGAGGGTGCCGGGGTTTTAAAATACACAGCTAGACCAAGCTGTTATAGTAAAAGTTGCTGAGCTGTTGTTTCCTTTTGTGGTATACCAGGAGACTGAAATCATCCTAATTTGAGAAAGTTCAGGAGCATTTTAGAACAGCTTGATTTTGTAGACAAGCATAGCTCTGGCAGCAGTCATGGCCAAAGGATTTCTTTGCCTCTGTTTGCCTTGTTTCCTGATACGGAGTGCTATAAAGCAGGGTGCATTCACATATGCACACCCATGTTTTCCCTCTTTCTTTGATTATCTGTATGTGGATGCGTTCCTGTTCAATCTGCTCTAAGTGAACCTGCTTTAGCAGGGGAGGTGGGACTAGATGATCTCCCAAAGTCCCTCCCAGCCCTTCTGTGATTCTGGGTCTATTATCTAGGTATCTGTGGAGGTAACATCTGTGATGATGGTTTCATTGCACTGAGTGCTGTTCAAACAGGGGAGAGAGAAATCTCACTGTTCTAGATACTGTATACACACAAACACATTTGCAAACCTCTGCACTGTTGCTGTCTGTGTTTATCTGTAACTTAGCTGTTGCCCCAAGACACTACTGTAGTATAAATATGAATTGTTTGTAGCAGCTGTGATTCCCCCAGTGGGCAGTGTGATCCCAATTCCACTGTCATTCTGTTTGTATACCAGTCCATTTCTCCTTGTTTTGATGTCAAAACCATGTATGAGAGTGGTTTGTAAATGGTGGTCACTTGAGATTTCCTGGGGAGTTTATCTAGGCAGTCTTGTCTCTGTGCCCACATTTTTATTTTTTTTCCCTTGGAACTGTTCCAGTGCTAATTCCTGTGCTGCATATTGTTTTATTTTTAAATGAGTGATATGAGATGCTTTCTGAATTAGCAAGCACAGAGGCCACTGGAGGGGCTCAGTGGAAGCATTCACAATTAGCCAACTAAACATGCCTGCGCAATATTATATAAAATGAGAGGTTTGACATGTTTGGGATGTTGGCTGTGTCTCTGGGCATCCTCAGGCCAAGGTTAATTTCCTGCCCTCTGTTCATAGCAAGAGGAAATTGCAAAGTAGGAGCTCAACAGAACGTCTGTTCACTAGACTGACATGGGATGTGATGTGTGTACAGAAGAGAGGTTTATAGGGAGAGGACATAAGGCTGACCTCACTTTCTTGCTAGAAATTCCTTCTGTGCAGGACATGGACCTTTGCGTTTTGTGAGGTTTGTAACATATTTGCTCTTTGGTGTGGCACTTTATAATCTTGGATGCTCTCAGGTATTTTTATATAATTTTTCTTAAATGTACTTCCTCTATTAAAATCCAAAAAACTGAGAGAAAGGCCAGAATCATGTAAAGTGTTTGGTGACAAGACTTTCTGAAAGAGAATTTTGCAGCCATCACATGCAACTGAGCGGAGATAGCCACCCACGGTACACTGACTGATAAAAAGCCAAATGCCATTCTCTGGTCTATCAAAAACAGATTTAGAAACACGCTGACTCTGGGTCAGCAGGATGTGGGAAAGTCATTCTCTAGGAGTCTGAGAAAAATGAATTCAGCATGTTGTTGTGTTGTGTGCAGCATACACATCAGCCTTCTTCGATAGAGAGGTCACAGTTCCTTTTTGGCTCCTCATGTATTTCTTGCCACTGTCTTGGTCTAACTTTAGTTAGCTTCCCTCCATTTCAGCTCAGCCTTCATGCTGACACCAGCACACTGCGGCATGTCTGTCCTTGATGGCATAGGAGATATGGATGTTCCTGCTCTCCTAGCGTTCCCTGCCAGTTGAGAAGAGTTGGAGGCCTTAGGAGAGGAATTTTGACAGCACATTCACATCCTTCCAGCTTTCTCTGAGGCTGGCCAACTATGTGGAGACATTTCCGGTATGCTGATTAGTGCCTTTGGAGAAGCTGGCAGAGCCCCAGCTGTCAAGGTAGATTGCAGCCAGCTGATCCGGTGGGATTAGCAAGGATTGTTGTGAACGCTGTCTGTCGGTAAGAAGGGGTTCATAGCCAGGACTGCTTTTGGGACTGCCCAAATGTGGAGTTCTTCTGAAACAGGTTTAGACACCAGGAGGGTTATGGACATTGGATGCATCTCCCAGAGGAAGCTGGGACACAACAGGCAAGGCTATAGATGACACTGTCTCTAGGAAGTAGCTTGAGGAAATCCAGAATATCATGTTTCTGAGGCCTAAATTCATTTCCCTGCCCTGAAGTTTTATCAGTCTCCCTGAACAGTGGAGCCATTAATTTACCCCACAACTACCACCAAATAAATCAGCTTTTGAACCCCTGAAGGAAGGGGCTTGACCTCGGGGTTTGCTTACTCTATCTTCAGAACGGGGCTGGGCCAGATATTGGACAGCCTTCTCCAGTTCTCCTTCAGCTAGCAACTTTGCCAAATCTTCCTTAAAGAAGGTTTAGAGAGTGCCCTACATGGGTGCAGACAAAGTCCATTGTGATATGGAGATTGCTCCAAAGCTTGCTGGGAGTCAAGCTATGAGAGAGAAAGGACATTTGGCTTTGCTCACTACCAGACCATGAAAACCCCTTATGTCACAGATGTCTAGGCTGAAGGCTACCCTTTGGTCATCTGTGCAGCAATGCTAGGCCTGCCAGATGTGTGATGTATGTTTTGCCCTTGTCTGGCCCCAAGTGGAGGTGGTGCTGCAACGGTATTTCTGGTTAGCTGCATCTCTTCTAGCAGAGGTCCCTTCCAACCCCATATCATTCTGTGATTCTGTGAAGTGTCTGAGCGGCAGCAAGTTCTGGGTCTGCCCTAGCTGATCTTCTGTGAGGAAGGATGAGATGTGGCAGAGGAGTGGGATGCTTTGTCCTCCCTCCTGGGAGGTGGTCACCACAGCTGGTGACTCCTCATCCATTGGAAGTCATCTTGGAGAGCCCTGACCAAACCCAGCCTGGCTGAGAGCACAAATGCCTTCAGCAGCGGTGTAGTTGCCTCTGCCTGCACCCCTGGTCTGTGTGCTGCCAAGTAAGCCCTGTAAACCAATTAATACAGGTTAACCAGCCCTTCTCTGGGATGGGTTCCTCTCTGGCTGTTTAAGGTAGTGCTGTCCCTGCACGTGCTCTGCGACCTCCACTCTGTCACCTGATAAACCGCATCTCGTATCTCTTGTGTTGATGTGGAGTGATCAATAGTTATCATGCCTGCGGGGAATTATTCCTCTGTTTTGCAGTTGTCACACCCCCTCCCTTGGTGGGTGTTTTCAGATGAGACTGATTTCTGTGATGTACTCATGGGGAGAAACAGAGTGAATTCCAGACTGCTTTGCCCTCTCCTTCAGAAACTTTGCATAAGCAGAATTGCTGGCAAGTGACCTTTCCTTGAAAAAGTTCCTGGCTTTCTCAAGCCATTTGTAGTCAGGTGGGCTTTAAACTGAACTCTTAGCTACACCGTGATTGTGTTGTCATGCAGCTTCTGTCCCTCAGGAGATCAAAGACTGCACCCGGGCTGAGGCTTGCAACACGGAGGAGTTTGACTCCCTGCTATTGTCACTTGGTGTTAGGAGTGGTACTGCTGTTGTGTCAAAAACCTGGATGGTGCTGTGCTTGCCATTTGCAGACCCTGATCAGAGAGATTTAAAGGAGTTTGCTACATTTGCTTTGTGGAGACTGGTAAGGAGGCTTCTCCACTATGTGAGCGTCTGCCTAGGAGGACATACAAAGGTACTTGTTTGAGAACCCAAACAGGAACCAGCAGCTGGGCAGTGGAGGTGGGGAACTGGTCATGAAGGATGCCTGAAACGAAGACAAATGTTCCACAGCTGTTGCAATCTTCAAATACTCCCTGTTTACTCCTCTTCCTGGCAAGCAGGTGGCAGAATTACTTCTGTCCCTTGCAAAGAGGTTGAAAAAAAGCAAGAAAGAGAAAGGAAAAGATGTTAAAGGTAGTGGAAACCACAGATGCCTAAGTCAGGTTGCATTTGGTTCATATACTTCAGTACTATTCATGACTATGGTTTTTCCCTAGGTTAGGGAAAAAGGAGTAGCACATGGAGAAATAAGATTCCATTTCCCCCCTGTTAACTCCTACAGGATGAATATAAGCCAGAAAAGGCTTTGTCGGAGGAAGATCTGAAGAATGCAGTTAGTGTGCATCATGCGCTGGCATCCAAGGCAACAGACTATGAGAAGAAACCCAATGTCCTCAAGCTTAAAACAGCAGATTGGAGGGTCCTGCTTTTCCAAGCCCAGTAAGTGCTTTCTTCAGATTGTGCCAGTCATTGAGGAAAGAAAGCTGTGCTGAAGGGAGGGGTAAATTCATGCCTGGACAGGTTAAAGCAGAGGCTTAAGAGGTTCAATCTGTTTATTTGATCAGAAATAAGATTAAGTGGTGATTTGATTAGGGTGCACAAGTAGTTCATGAGAGAGAAACATCAGGTTTTAAGAGGCTTTTTAATCTAGCTGAGAAAGGCGTAACAAGATGCAGCAGCTGGAAGCTGAAGCCACAGGAAATTCAATTTGGAAACAAGGCACAAACTTTTAACAGTGAGGGTGATTAATCATTGAAACAAATGTCCAAAGGCAGTCTTGGATTGTCTGTCTCCTGATGTCATCAGGTCCTAGCCGGATGTCTTTCTAGAAGATATGGTTTGGTCAGAAATAAAGTTACTACTTAATACGAGAATAATTTGATTAAGTTCTTCAGGCTCTGATATCCAGACAGAACAGATGACCTGCCTTTTGCTTCTGACATTAAAAACCTGTGCATCTGTCTTCTGCGTGAGCCCTTTTCTACCAAGATCTGTGTGAAACCTCCTAGAGATCTGTGGTGTCCAGCACAGCTCAGACCTTAGGACATACGTCTAAATAAGGTCATTGGCTGTCTCTGTTGCCCATGTCATTTGGATTGGATTAGGAAAAGACGTGTGCTAGGGTGAATTGTGGACCTAATCACAAGCCAGCCTGTGACTGAGATACCTGACATGAACCACTTGCAAAGATAGACCACAAGACTGAGCAGACTCTAAGACTTGTCCTATTCTGGTTATTCTCGCTTTTTAAATGCTGTTGAAGGGGTGGGAAAGAGGTGGAAGAGACTGAGTCAACAGGTGCTTAACACATGTTTCTTCCCCAGGAGCCAAGAAGAAATGCAGACCTGGATCAACAAGATTAATTGTGTGGCTGCCGTCTTCTCTGCACCACCATTTCCAGCAGCAATTGGCTCTCAGAAGAAGTTCAGTCGCCCACTCCTGCCAGCTACCACAACGAAGCTATCTCAGGTGAGCTGTTTTTATATAGAGGGTAGGTGACAGCGATTTCTCTGGCTGGCTGGAGACTGGATGGTGGTCCTTGGCATTGTTTTGTGCATTCCTAGAAGAAAAAGGCTCGCACTGTAAATCTCTGCTTGCTTCCTTATGCAAGATTTGAAATGTGGGGGGAGAAGGAGCAGACTTTAATATAATTGTTTTATATTTTTGAAGGAAAGAAACAATCACTAGCATTCCTAGTACCAGATACAGAATTTTCATCCTGCAGTTATGGCTCTGCAGAGGACATTTCAAATACTGTCTGACTGCTGTTTTTTTTGAATTCGAGTGTTTATAGCCACTCTTTTCAGAAGAAATGGACATACTCCTGGTCTTTGGCTTATTGGGGTGATAAAAGGTGAAAGCTGATGCATCAGACAAGCATCAATTATATTTCTCCCACAGTACTTTTCCAGACTCCAACTGTTACCAGCTCAGGGATTTCCTGTTAGTGTATATTTATAAACTGCCTCTTACATGAACGTCTTTGGTCAACCCTTGTGATCGCATAAGCTTTTAGCTTCTACAACATCCCATGGCAGGGAGTTTCACAGCTCTACTACTTCTTGCATTAAAAAACACCTGCTTCTGCTTGTTTCGGACTGGCTGATGCTTGCACCTATAGCTCTGTGTACTTTGGGAGCTGTGATGCATGACTGCGATTCCTCCTGCACTGGCAGGAAGACAGTATTGATTGTGTTGATGAGGTTGACGGAGTGGCAGAGGTGATAGATCCCAATCCTAGCTGTATACTTTACAAGTAACCTCCTGTAGCTTTTAAAGTCATCTGCCTGTGCTGAATTGCTTCTTAAATGCATTTTTTTGCCATCTTTATAGCTTAGCAACGCTCCTTAGAAACCACTATGTCATAATCTGCATTTCTGTAAGGGGGTGGTTTTTTTATGTTACCCCTGCTTTTTCCTTCTCTGTGGCAGTAGCCTTTCTTCTTACAATGTGGTGACCGACTTTCCATCTTCTATTCTGGGTTAAAGTTTAAAATGTGTCTTGTACAGAATAATATTAACTTGCCTTATCCTTATGGTTTTACTTTTTGCTCATGCATACCTTTTTCTAAATACTTCAATAATTCAGTCACCAGTCACCAAAAAAAGCTTTTTTTACTCATCGTTGTTCTGTGTGATCGTTCCATTTAGTACGTTATTTCCTAGTCTCATTGTTTCTGTTTAATCTGGAATGGAAAAAAATAGAAAACAGCCCTGTGATTTGTGTCTCAAAGAAGGGGAGACACGAGAAGTGGAATAAGATAAGCTGTTTTAGCTAAAGGCAGAAGAATGTTAAGTGTTCAAAGCAGATAAATTCAAAGGCAAGCAGAAATATGTCTGCTTTTATCTGTCAGTGTGGAAAAGCTGCCAGCAGGCTGCTTCTCATTTGGCAGACAAAAAATATGAATTGTCAAATCCCTGTGGCTGCTGTTTAGGATTTTGTGGGCTGAATCATGATGGACAGTACTCCTTCAAAGGGCCTGTTCCTGGTCAGGCAGAAGTCGAGATGTGGTGCGAACCTAACATGGGTGAGGAAGAGAGGTTGGACATGATGGGTTGTGAAAGATCATTGCACCAGTTTTGCTTTCAAAAGCAGATCAGGGTCTGATCTTGGTTAGTCCAACCAAAGAGCAATGTGACGAAGCTATATATAAAGGAACAGCCAGTCTTAGAAAAGATCTTCTAGGGTGGTTTTTTCCCCTTTTTTCTGAGAATATGCACACACACACAAAAGCTCCAAAGGGCTGCTGCCCTGGAAATTACAAGTGCCAAATTAATAGCTGCTTAAAGACCTCCTGTCATCAGGCTGTAGAACTCACTGCAACAGGGTGTCACTGGGACCAGAGATTCCGCACAACGTAAAAAGTGGTTGGGCTCTAATATAGAGAGCAAGCAGATCCAGGTTAGTTACTAACAGCATCAAGAATTTTTGGCAGCCAGTAGCGAGTGGTTTGAGCCCTACCATATATAGGCACAGGCAAATTATCCCACATGTTTCTTTCTTCAGTTGTCTTCCAAAAAGAGTTGAAACACAAGATTAGCTGGGGCTCAGCTATCATCATCTGTAGAAGTTTCCCCCCTTTCGGCTTCTTTCCACAGCTCCTGCTCAGTGAGCTGAGAGGCTCAGTCCCTGGTGTGACTTACAGTGTGATGGAGACATGTCCGAGCTGGGCTTGAAGCTGCAAGCTGTGCAGCCACAACACTGGGGGACAATGAGGGGTGGCTATCCCCTTCTCTGAGGCTAGGCACACACGTGGGAGCAGAGCTGGGTACTACCTGCTGTTACGACTTGTTAAGTCACTGAGATCTGCATGATCATGTCTATATTTTGGAGTTACCTAATTCAAACATAATTTCAGATGCAAGCATAGAAATGGCCAGAAGGCCATGCTGCAGGAGCTGGAAACCTTCTGAGCTGAGGGAAGGTTAGCTGACAGATGGACTGGAGGAAGTGAGTGGGCTTGGAATTATGATAAAGGAAATTGCCTAGAAAGGGAGAGTAGGAGCTCCTCACTTTCTCCAACTGCACAGTGGGATAAAAGCTGGTAGCAACTTAGAAAAATTATATATCTTTTGGGGATTGGACAGCCCTTACTTTTCTGGATGCATTGTATTGTTCTGAACAAAAGGAAACCACAGACCAGAGAGTGATTGGTGGTGTGGAAATGGAAGGAAGGGCCCTGACTCGATGTCCTTTCTGTCCTGGAAGGAACTACTTTTACTTTGAAAGGACCTGAGGCAGGGTCTTCGCCTGTCTCATTCTGCGCTTGGTCTGACTTGCATACACAACAGCCCTAATTAATTTGCCAAAAAATGTATTAGAGCAGAAGTGTCATGTTGTCAGTAATGCTCTTCAGCAAGCTGCTTCCGTTGCTCTCAGCAAGGCGACGGATGACAGGTTTGCTATCCTTCCCAGTGGCATCTGCTAGCTGCTGAGTTTTTCTGCAAACTTGGCCACTTTGCTTGGGTGCCTTTGAGAGAGCTGTTGGGGGCAGAGTTCTAGGATACCAGACCTTATCAGTCTAATTAAAATTAGTTAAAGGAATGAAGGTGTGGGAGACTGGCTAGCTGAGAAGGGTCAGCTAGTCCAGCAAGAGCTTAATAAGCACCATATTCAGCTTATCTAGCTCCCAATAACTGCAAGGCCTTGAAGTTGTTCTTCTGGCCTTGAAGGCAGCTGTGGTCCAACAACAGAATGTCTGTGATAAGGCAAACATGTAACTGTAAGAAAGGAATTTCGGGCGGAACTGTCTTTTTAGAACTAACCAATAATGAGCTCTCATTTTGCAATATGTATGAGCTAATTATGAGTGTGCATAAAAGAATGGTAGTGTGTCTAAATAAACGAAGCTTGCTGATCACTCATATTGAGTGCTCATGTCTTCCCTCCGTCGCAACATGAAGGAGAGAAAGAGAGAAAGAAACAAACAAACAAAGAGAAGCTACTTCTCGTAGGTATTATTGTACAGGGATTTCTTTATTTTCCTTTGCTTATCAAATATTTTAGATTCTGTCACTTAAGTGCCTAATGTGTTTCTGAAGGATGAACAGCTGAAGTCCCATGAAGCTAAGCTGAAGCAGATCTCCACTGAGCTTGCTGAACATCGCTCCTATCCTCCTGACAAGAAGCTCAAAGGCAAGGAAGTAGATGATTACAAACTGAAGGACCACTATCTGGAGTTTGAGGTATGTATGGGAAACGTTCTTACTTCTACTTTTTGGGTCTGGATGGGGCAGCTTGTCTTATACTTGGGGTACAGTCTGGAGTTCTGCATTTTTCACCCTGTTCCACTAAGCAGTATGTTCTTGTTAGGCAGATATGTAACAGCAACCCCAGAAGCTGGGATGTGGCTCCTCTTTCTGATAAGGACTTCTTGTGACCTTAGCCGTGACTTTAGCTCCCCATCTGTAAAATGGAGGATAAAAATGTGACCCTCTGTCCTTGCCTGATGTATCTATTTGAAGAGATAGGGTCTTCAAGCAGAAACTGTCTCATGTTGTAAGACTGTGTGTTGCCTAGTATGTTGGCACTTCAGTCTTTATGGAATGACTGCATTCTGCAGTAATGCAGATCATGGTAAGTGTCTTCCAAGGGTATGTTCTGAAGGAACTGGTCTTCTAAAATTGTCTTAGGCATGCCTCGTCAGAACCATTTGTGTTGGATGTCAGGATGAGCAGGAAAAGGGTAGAATTAAAGATCACAGAACTGAGGGATGCAGCTTACACAGCTGCATTAGAAAATTGTTCTGAGTACTGAAACAGCAGCTTTTAGACGTCATGGTGTCTGCCACATTGTAGGGCTATGAGGGAGGGGTCAGCAACCATAGATGTATGGTATTTTTCATGGCTGCACCTTTGAGCTTTTTCCCCCAGAACTGCGAGTCAATGTTACCTTGGGTCTGAAAGGATCCACCTTTAGATAGGCAGTCCCTGGCAAGGAAAAGCTATAGTCTGGACAAGAGAAAGAGCAGATAAGACAAAAGTCAGAGAGACCACCAGAGGAGATGCTGAAGGCAACACAAGCCTCCAGAACTGAAGTAAGCCTACTGCCATTTGTTATATGAGTTCATTTTGGAGGAGCTCTTTTTACTCCTGGACTTGACTGGTTTTGTACTTTCGCTTTTGCAGAAGGTTGTAATCACTGTGTTGCGTTCGACTTTGCTGTAGCTCTGGGCTGCATCACATACAGTGAGCTTGAGGTGTTTTGCTATTGTTTTGTATAGGGAACACAGTTGGCCAGTTTGTTCTTCCACATCCGACATACCTGAAATGATCTGACCAAAAATCAAATGAGGAAGTGATGGACAGGGCTGCCAAGCAGTGAGTACACAATGATGTGAACAGGAGGGACTACATAATCAATAAAACAGGGCCAAAGTGAGGTGATGGGAGAGCTTGCATGACTTGAGTGCTGCCATAAATGGTTACAGGCTTTTTAGAAATGACAGACAGGAGGAGGGAGGCACCCTTTATATGAGTGAGTAGCAGGCAAATATCAAACTTTGCCTAAGGAAGGGTGATGAGCCAGCTGAGAGTTTGTGGATGAGAATTAGCGGAAACACCAAGATGGGTGTCATTGTGGTGGCTGTCTGCTAGGCTTTATTCAAAGAACTGGAACAGACCTTGTGTTTGCTGGCCCTGGTCCTCATGGGGAACTTCAACCACCCCTTTATCTTCTGAAGGGACAACATAGCAGGGCATAAACAAGCCAGGACATTTCTGGACTGCATTGACAACAACTTCCTCACACAGGTGACTGAGGAGCAGACAAGGAGAGGTGCTTTGCTGGACCTGTCACTTATAAACTAGGAGGAACTGGTTGGGGATATGAAGGTGAGAGGCAGCCATGGCAGCAGTGACCACAAGATGTTGGACTTCATGATCCTGAAAGGAGGAGTCAAAATAAAAAGTAGGATCACAACCCTGGACTTCAGGAGAGCTGACTTTGGCCTGGTCAGAGAACTGCTTGAAAGAATCCCATTAGACAGAACCCTGGGGAAGAAGAGGGCTTTGGGACAGCTGAACACTTTTCAAGAATCACCTCTTTTAAGCTCAGGAATGGTTCACCCTGACAAGAAAGACACCAAAGAAAGATGGCTGAAGGCCTTCATGGATGAACAAGAAAAAAGAAGTGTGCAGGAGGCAGAAGCAGTGACATGTGACACAAGAAGAATAGAGATACTGTCCCAGCACATAGGATTGCATTTAGGAAAGACGAAGTTCATGTAGAGTTGAATCTGGTGAAAAATGTGAAGGGCAAGAAGAAAGGCTTCTATACTATGTTAACAGCAGAACAACTAGGGACAATATGGGGCCAAGCTGGGGCCCATAATGGGGTTGGGGACCTAGTCACAAAGAACAGGGAAAGGCCAGGGTATTGAAATGTCTTCTTTGTCTGGGTCTCTACTGGTAAGACCAGCCTTCAGCAGTCACAAGCCCAATGGGAACATGTGGACCAACTTACCCTTGGTGAAGAATGATAAAGTTTGGGAATATTTAAACTGGACATGTGCAAGTCCATGGGATCTGATGAGATGCACCCATGAGCACTGAGGGAGCTGGATGATGTCATTGCAAGGCCATTCTTGATTACCTTTGAAAGGTCATGAGGTTTCTGAGGTCTGGAGGAAAGCAAATGTCATTCCTGTCTTCAAGAAGGGAAGGAGAAATTTTTCAGGGAACTACAGGCTGGTCAGCTGCTTATGCATCTGTGGGAAGGTGGTGAAACAAATTCACCTGCAAATCACTTCCAAACACATCAGAGACAACAAGGTGATTGTGAGTAATGAGCATGGCTTTACAAAGGGGAAATCATGCCTGACCAACATGATAGCCTTTTACAATGAGATGTGTGGTGGATGTTGTTTGTTCTTGACTTAAACAGGGATTTTGACATGGTTTGCTCTAACATCCTCATAGACAGGCTGATGAACTGTGGACTAGGAAATCAGCAGCAAGGTGGTTTGGAAACTGGCTGAACAATTGAGATAAAAGGGTTGCGATCAATGGCACAATGTCAGTTTTGAACACAGCACTCAGATGCACAGAGCAAAGCCACACACTTTCACTTTGTAGGGGTCTTGTTTGACTTGGGAGAGCAAATAGTTTCTTGACTTTGGGTCCTTGACACAATGTAGGCTGGAGTGTTTAGAAGATTTTAGAAAGACTGGTGGAGAAGGAGATCGTTGTGGGTTTTTTCTGTTTTCAGTGGCAATCTTTAGAGAAATATTAGAGAAATATTCCTCGGGTACCTCAGTACAAAGCAGAACCAGTACAGCCCAGGAAACAAGAGATACCTTCTTCCCTAGTGACAGCCTTGAACGGCAATTGAACTGCGCAGTTCAGATATGTGATCAGCACTGCAGGCAAGTGGTGGCACCAACTTCAGTTGCATACGAGAGATGGTGATTCAAGGTGCAGCTGTGCAATGCCATCTTACCTTCACAATTGGCACAGATTTCTCAGATCATGTTGAACTATCAATAGGCAGTGTGGGGGAAAAAAAAAAAAAAAAGGTGAGCTCTGTGAAAATCCTGGATGGAATCTCCTCCAGTTTTGGGGTTTCTTCACCTTCTCTTCAGAACGAAATCCTGTCAGGATCAGGCAGGACCTTGCTTCATGGGGTCAAAGCAAAAGGGCGAGAGTCAGGTGAGGCAGTATTTCTTACATGGCTCTGTCAGGCTGAGACTGCAGACCAGACCTTGCATCCGTGTACCAAGGGGCATGCTGATACATCTCCAGATTCACACCAAAAGGGTCTCAGAGTCCCAAAGGAAGCAGCATTCCTTCCTGTTAGGAAGGAAGAAGCCAGGTGTGTTTTTTGTACGCCCTTGTAATTCCTTTTTGTTCACCCACCAGCATGGCCTTCATTCTTGTCCCTGATGAAAGACAAGTGAGATGGTGTTTCCTTCTGACAGGAGGTGAACTAGGAGGTGCCTGGTGCTTGTTCAGGGATGCAGCCACGCGCATTTCTTCTTCCAGGTGTCCTTGCTTGTAGACATCAAGGAAGGAACATTTCCTCTGTGCTTGCTGAGGAAGTACTGTACCAGATAATGGCTGTTCATTGCAGCAAATTTATGGTTTGAGAGAGATCTTTTGAGTGCTGTCAGGTGAGAGGTGAAGCCAGAAATTTGATTCTGATGAGGGTGGCTACCTTATCTCCTTTTTTTATTATGTGCATTTAGTCTTCAGGGATAATGTTGCAGAAGTTTTTAAATTGTTTTAACTTTTATGGTTTTACTTTCCTGATAGAATTTTCCAGATTGATTTCTTTTAAGGAAAAATTTCCACTAGCTGTAATACCTAGCTTCAAATATCAGATTACTAAAAGAGCAAGTTTGTTGTGGTTGAAAGCAAAATAGGATCTTCCAAATGCATTGCTTAATTGCGATAGAAATGATGGGCCCACAAAGTGCAGGGCAAAATAGCCACTGGCAGACATATATGGCAGAAACTGGTCCTGGATTTCCATTCTGATTGCTGGGTCTTGTGACCCTGGTGGTGTTTACCGGACCAACAAAAAGCAGAAGTCCATATGGCAGTAAAGTCCCTCGCTCCCTTGATGAATGCTACACTGATCCCAGGCTTAGAGCACCGGCTTGCCTTCTCTTTTGCAGAGGTGTCCCATTTGTTGTGCGATGAATCATTCATCAGCCCAGTGCATCATCATCAGGGCTCTGCTTGCTGTTTCTCCATTTCCTTTTTTTATTGAATGACACATCTTACCTGCTTCATGTGTTTGTCTCTCGCATTGTGGAGCTGGAGCTCCAGATACGGAATTGATAAGAAAGCTTTTTTATTTAATTTTAAGGTGGATACTTTTATGATCCTCCTCTATGAGGTTTTATTTATTCAAAGGACTCTTTGGAAGCCCAGTCACGTTCTCTCCTCTTTTTTTTCCCTTTGTATTCCACACTTCAAAGCAGTTACCAAGCTTTTTGACTTCCTGCCCTCAAATAAGTATCATTACCAGAAATTTATTCCTTTATTATAAATGGGAAAAAAATTTCTTAAACACATTTTCCTCTGTCAGAAACATAACAGTTTGGTAACTGTTTTGCCACTTTGAAATATAAATTAACAATCAATATGGATGTTTATGTCCTCCTTCCCTGACCCACAGCCCACTGAGATCACCTTATTTACAATGTCTGCACCATATTTTTAGTAGATATGTCAGGGGCAGGTTACTGAACACATCTCAGGAGGTGGGTTACTCTGTTCTCAGGACCTCCTGCCCCAGCCTCTGGTTTTGAGCCCTGCAGGGATCGTCTGCTAATGTATGCTCATTTTGTTTGTTGCTGAGATGTTACCGTGCACAAAGATGTTACTGTGGCACATGGAGCTATGTCTTCCCACAGGAGAGGGAAAGCTCTGCTCCAGGCAAGGAACAGAACAAGTGGGCATGGGGCACAGTAAACTTCTTCCAGTTGACACCTTCATCATTCACCATGAGTGGCCCCATCAGGGGAACATGCCATGCTGCTGTCATAACCCTCTCATCTGCTCTTTTTTGTTAAGGTCTGGCCTCGCAGAGCATCCTTTCGTGGACTCACTGGTGGCTGAGCTGATTCAGTCTGCGCTTAGCAGGACAATTTCTCCCCCGTGGGCTCAAGCAAAGAAAGCAGGACCTGCTGGTGGGAGTGGAGGGTTGCAGGGGAGAGCCGTAGCCACCCAGCTCAGGATTTTTGTTATCCCTCAGTTTGCAGCACTTTATCTCCATGCCTTCGTGGGGCACATAACACCTCAGTGTGTACGAGCACCACAGAATATGACTCAGCATGACTGAGGTCAACGAGCTCTTGCTCGGTGGTATTACTCGCCATCCGCTCCAACTGTCTGGGCGCCAGTGTTCAGCAGAGCACCAGGATTTGTGTGCTGCAGAACTGAGTGCCTCTAATTGCACGGCAGCCCCGGGCTCAGCCTGCCTGAAATCCTTTTTGTACTGTGTAATTTACATTAGCCACCATTGTTCATGTCCACATCAGGCACCATTGTTTGCATCCTTGTTAGGCTCCTGGCTTTCAAGGCCAGCATAAACCATTAAGTTACCCAGACGGTCTCTCAAGTGCTTCTGCAGAGTTTCTTCCAGACTGATCCAGGCCTTTCTTTTCATTTCCCAGAAAAATCGCTATGAGATTTACGTTGGCCTCCTGAAAGAAGGGGTGAAGGAGCTGCTGAGCGGAGGAGAGAACGATGCGCCAGGACTGAAGAAATCCCATTCGAGTCCCTCCTTGAATCAGGAGTCTCCAGTTAGTGCCAAGGTGAAACGCAATGTCTCGGAGAGGAAGGACTACAGGCCAGAAACACCCAGCATTAAGCAGAAGGTCACTTAGGGTGGAAATAGCAACTAGGGGAACAGCCATGCAGCAAAGTACCGGTGGTCAAAATTTTTTCATTTAATAACCTGTCATTCACAAAAAATAAGTGCATCTGCCTGAATGGGGTGTTAGTGACATTTTCTATTGTATATTTTGCTGTTTCTGTGCATATTGTGGGAGATGTCTCTGCTCCTGCTTTGCTTTGCTTTGTTAATTTGTCATTTAGCAATTGAAGCATCGGGACTTTTTTGTGTTGTTCTGTTTCTAAAGGAGGTGGGGGAGGGGTAGAGAGCTGTGAGGTATATTCTGTCTCTTCCCCGTTTATCTCCTCCCATCGGCACGTGGCTTTCATCTCTCAAGTCACTTGTCACTTTATTTACGTGGTGGGTGGGAAAGTAACTGGACAAATGCTGCAGTGCTGTGAATGCAGGCTGTAGCTGTGAGGAAACGGCTGTGCAGACGGGCAGCTGCAGAAGCAGGCTGGCTAGAGCCAGGGGTGCTGGGAGCACTGGTTTCCTGACAATGCAGAGCCTGTTGGTACTGGTACTTAGCAGCAGGTGCTACAGTAAGTAGTCGCTGTTGCTTATCTTCTGCACTGGCCCTGGACCCACGAGCGCAAAGGGACGAAACCTGGAAATGGCTGGCAATGCTGGGATGACAGCTTTGGAATAATTTGTTTGCTTCTTTCCAAGCAAAAGAGTCTTCACCTGAGTTAGCAGGCTGGGAGGTATCCAAACCCATACCCATGCTGTCTCTGCGGTCAGGGAGATTAGGGGTTACCCGGTGAGAATGAACCTGCGCTTTAAATTTATTTGCGGAGGAGGCTGCTGTGGGTGTCAGCCATTAGCATTGTATTTTAAAGACAAAGGGCCTCTGTGTAGTTTTTAACTATACGCTCTCACTTAGCTGCTATGTAGAGCCTTATGGATATATTGTGCCCCGATGCTTCCCCTTCCAGGAGTTTCCTTGTTGGTGTGCACATACAGGTGTTTGCAATTTCTCTGCTAGTGACAAAGCACTTTGCCTTTTCTCTTCAGGAAGGGATTCTCCTCAGCTCTCTGTTTTCCTGCTTTAGCTCACATACAGATGGAATAGGCCGGTGCAGACCGGAGAAGGGGACAGACCTGTCCTTGCTGTGGGCCAGGTTTTGGTGCTGTCTGGGCTACTCCATGCCAGGAGGTGGGCACAAGGCAGCCTCCGGTGTGGCACACCCTACCCTCCACCTGCAGGGAACCAGGCTGCCTTGCACCTCCTGTGTACCCTGCACCAGGCTTTCGGAGGGGGGAGCACAGGACAGGGAGAAACTACCGTGGGTAGAACTTTCCATACCATCAGTGGTGCCCAGCGACAGGACAAGGGGCAGTGGGCACAAACTGGAACACAGGAAGTTCTGTCTGGACACGTGGAAAAACTTACTTGCTTTGAGGGTGGCAGAGCACTGGAACAGGCTGCCCAGAGAGGCTGTGGAGTCTCCTTCTCTGGAGATATTCAAAACCTCACTGACGCAATCCTGTGCAACCTGCTCTAGGGGAACCTACTTCAGCAGGAAGGGGTGGAGGGGTGGTGGTCTAGATGATCTCCAGAGGTCCTTTCCAACCCTTGCCATTCTGTGATTCTGTGAAAGGTCCTGTTTGTGCCACAGACCAGTCTTCAGGCACAGGGAGTAGAAATATGATGTAGAGATCATTTTCCTGTTTCCCAGCCCCTCTCGCTTGGGCGGCATCATGGCTCTGCAGAAGAGTGCTGGCTCACCTCTTGCTTACCACCCTGGGTTTTAATCTCCAGTTTGATAGTGACCTGCTGGGTGAGCTTGGGCAGGTCTCTCCCATTTTGCTTTGCCCTTCCCCTATGCAGAGTACTACAACCAAACTGGCCTTTCCTGCAGAGCAATTTGGGAAGTAATGTTGAGGGCCAGTTGAAAATTGTTTGTTGCTGTTATTTTTGTTGTGCCTGGCACGGGGATGTAATTCCTGATGGATGTAATTCTTAATGCATAAAGAAACGTCAAGATCAACACAAGGACTGTTTAGAAATGTGCTGGTGTTTCCAGCGCAAGTAGTCGATGGGCCACACATCAAAACAATTACCACCTGGGTGGATTTGTGCTCTGCTAGACTTCCCAAAGGGTCCAAGCCAATTAATCTAGTTTATTGAACTGCCAGTTCAGTGGGCAGGACAGGAAGTGATCAAAGAGAAAAGGGCCTTAACAGGCACCTCGTGACTTGCTTCCCCCACTGAAGACCACCATGCAGCAGCTTTCTCGGTGTTGTGCTCACTGCTGGCTGTAACAAAGTGTTGTGCTCTCAGATGCCGGGAGGTGTTAGAGCAAATTGATTGCAGTTCGGCACCGAAACCAGATGGGACTGTTTCCACAGGTGACAGAGGGACGCGCGCATCTGGCATCTGCCACTTAGAGAGGCCGCTCCATGCTAGAAGTCAGGAGGTCGGCCCCTACCCCTGGCAACATTGCTAAAAACTGCAAAGTCCTGAAAAGAAACTGTCAGTGGTTCCCAAGCACTTGGCCTTTAGAAGTTGTGAAGGCTTACAGTGGGGGCAACGTTCAGTCCTCTTCCTGGAGAAAAGAGATGCCTTGTGCTGCTGGAGCCAAAGTGATGTGGTGCAGCCTGCTGTGTTGGGAGACTCTGTGTAGACAGGTGCACGATAGTGCTCATTGGGAGGGATTGTTTGAATTAATCAACATTGATCAACAGCTCATGGAGGGGAAACAAAGCCAGGAGATTCCTGCAGCTGTTCATCATGCTCTGGTGGTTAAAAACAAACACAGAGAAAAGAGAGAAGAAGAAATTCATTTGGGGAATGCCAAATGCACATTTGAGAAGAAAATTTGTCTTGTCTTAGATAGGGTCTTTGGAAGCATGCAGCAGAAACAAAAAAATGTGCAGATTTGTAAATGGGCCCTGCTTGGCTGTCAGGCCAGGGTTGTCCAGATGAGTTTCTGGAAGGCAGGCAGGAACTTGCCCAGCAAACCTCTTGTGATTATGGAATGCAATGCTTTTAAAGGCAAAGAAGTGACATTTAACTTTTTTTCCTGTCTTTTAAAATATTCCGGTTGCTGTAGACTGCAGTTAAATTGCTGAGCTCAAAAAGAAATTATTCCTGTAAAATGCGTTTCCCAGCTTTGACATAGAAACTGGATAATTCCTCTTCAAAGTCATTGCAGAGGAGATGATTTGAAGCAATAGGAAAAGTCAAAAAGTGAACTGCAAAAACGTTTAATTTTTTTTTCATTATTTATTCTCTGTTTTCATGTATACTTCTAAATGGATTAGGTTATATTTTTAAAGTCTCATCTGGTCTTAGCAAATGCAGTTTTTCACTACGTTTTTTAGCCATTAAACGTTTGTTGAGCTTGGAGCACTCTTAGGGAGACTGCTGAGGTGTGCAGATTAGTTTGCAGAGAATTTTTCAGGTTCTGCTCAAGTTTTAATTAATGCCATTTTGCTCCATTGCTTTACAAATTCTACACATCCCAGGCACCCATGTGAAAATGCTCATTTCAGACGCTGAGATAAAGGTGATCCTGTCATGAATGCGTAAGGCTTCTGACTCCCTTCAGAACAGGATAATCTACTAAGCAGTACTGTAATTTGGTTTTTTCCCCCCACTGCTATTGTAAAGGGTGGAGGCAGGTTCACAGGAGATCTCAGCGGTGGTGCCACTGGGAGTCTGGACAGATAGCTTTGCCTGGTACCCTGCCTTTCTTTGCTGAAATGTTTGCCTCTAGCAGAGATGAGTGCTTGACCTCCACAACTCAGGAGCCCCTGTTGCAATGTCTAAGCATGCTCCGCTGATTTCCAGCCCTCCTCTGCGACCCACCGTGCACCTGAACTCAGTATCAGCAGAGCAGCCTGCAGCTTTCTTGGGGGTGCTCAGTGAAAGCAGGAGTTTCTGGCGGACCACCACGAGCGTGTGTGCATGCAAGTCAGCCTTTGCATTGGTGCTGCGGGGGGGTGTCATCCTTCCTTGTCACCCCCCCTCCCCTCGCCGATGCAGCAGGCAACCGTTACTCAAGCAAGGCTTCTGCCTGCCTGTTGAGAGGGGGGTGCAAGGAGCGGAGCAGGATGGGGCCAATGGCTCCTCTCATCACCCCCACTCAAGATGCAGGCAGAGGTCCTGGAGGGACGCATGCTGCTCTGAAGCATTGCTGGTTTCTCCCCCATCCCAGGACGGGATCATCTCCTCTCTCCAGCTGAGGGAGGAGAGAGGACCTTACCGGCTCTGCAGCTGGCAGCAGAGAGGTGAGGGAGAAGGACAAAATTGCTTTCCCCTCTCCCTGCTGAGCAAGTGAGATACTCTCCTGAAGCTAAAACTGTGCTCTCCTCTGTGAGCCAGCGGGATGCAGCGGTCTGGTTGAGATGGTTTTCGTTCGGCAGCGGCTGCGAAAGAGACTCTCTGGGCCGGCTGTGTGTTTGTGTGCGTCTTGCAGATAAATCATGCATGGACCAGTGAACATGACTACAGCTTTTTAATCCAGTATTTATGTTGTGTCTTTAATTGATGTAGAAAGATAAGTCAGCCAGCAGAGTGATTAATGCAGCATTGCTGGGGGGGAACGCTGTTCAGCTGCGATGCTGACTCAAATAGTTTTTCATCTATAGCCAGCCACTTGTAAATGGTTACCAGAAGCTTTCTAAAGGCTTGTAACAGCTCATCCCTTAAGTGTTTTCCCTCTGATTCTGCCTGCTCCCAAGGTGCAGTCTGTCCACGTTTTGGGGCTCCTCTGGAGACCATTGCTCAGTCGAGCCCTGCTCTGAGCAGGAGTTTGGAATAGCAAACCTCCAGAGACTGGAATTGTTCAGTGACTTTTCACAGCTCCAATGCCTTCTGGTAACAAGGCTGGTTGTTCTTCTGGCTTGAAACAGCCAATATTTTTGCCTTTCTTTGGTGAAGGAGTGAGGTTCTCGCTTGATTAGAACAGCTTCTTCAGTGAAGGTGGTTGTGGCAGTGGAGAAAGTCAAAGGTGGCAGGGTTATCACTGGGCTTCTGGAGGCATTGCATGGTAATGTTCCTCTTGAAAGCAGGGAAGGCTTTCTTTGCAGACAGTGTACCGCTTACCGTGTCTGCATTCTCCATCCTTGAATCAATTTGGGTCTTATCGCGGTTAGTCTGACAGCTCCTCCTCCTTTTCTGTCAAGCTGCTCCTGTCTGTCATCTTAGCACCTCAGCTGCTTCTGTGTAACAGGTCTCTTTCCTTCCATGCTTGCAGAAATCCAGAAAATTTGACTGTCCCATCTTGCCTTGAGAAAACCTGCTCTGAAGCAGCACTGTGTTGAATACATAACCCTGGGAACAGCTTTTTCATTCTGCTCGTTGGGAGCCTGTGTTTCCAGCCACAGTTATAGCTGGGAGGTGTGAGACAGAGTCCCAGACTGCCGTGATTCTCTGCCGTTACACTGCAGGGATGCAACGTCCCCCCTCCCGCACTCAGACCAGATGCTTGTGACATTCCATCTCCTTTCTAAAAGTCTTGGAGACAGAGGCGACCCATGATGTGGGGAAACTTTGAAATGCTATTTTGCCAGGAGCTGGGTACTTTCCAAATCAGGCCATACATTTTGCATCCTTTTGGGGAGCTGTTTTTTAAATAAATAAATTAAAAAAAAAAAACAACCCACAACAGAAAAACAAAACCGTTTTCAACCAGTGACCCCCAAGCACAGAGGGATGGTTGCTGGAAACACTGGCTTCTTTTGCAGAGGCGAAGGCAGCATACACATGTTATCTCAAGCAATCTTCCAGCTTGCTGCTTGTTAAAACTTTCCCCAGTATTGATCTCCTGAGGCTCTGGGACGTCACATCTTCTCTGAGAGGGCAGTTATAAAGTCCACATTTCTCTCCAGAGCACAGCCAGAGCTCCCCAGCATGTTTTCCCACTGTCTGATACCTAGGCTGCCTACAGGGGTGAGCCAAAGAAGCTGTCTCAGAAATACCTTTGAAAGAACTGGTCTCCAACTTGTGCTTTTTTAGAGGATATTTTTTATTGCATGTAGGAGCAGTGTGCCTGGCCTCTTCTCTCTCCCAGCTGCACCTGGAGCTTCGCTGTGTGTAGGACTCGAACATTTTTGGGTTTTTGTCCAGTTTTGTTCAACATATTTATCAAGACAAGAGTGGGACAAGACAAGAGTGTATCCTCAGCAAGTTCACTGATGATACCAAATTGGGAGGACTGGCTAACACTCCAGAGGACTGTGCTGCTATCCAGTGTGACCTGGACAGACTGGAGAGCTGGGCAGAGAAGAACCTAATGAGGTTCAATAAAGGCAAGTGTATGGTCCTGTACCTGGGGAGGAAGAATGCCAGATACCAATGTATGTTAGCGGTGGACCTGCTGGAAAGCAGTTCTGAGGAGAAGGATCTGGGGGTCCTGGTAGATAGCACACTTTCCATGTGCCAGCAATGTGCCCTTGTGGCAAGAGGGCCAATGGGATCCTGGGCTGCACAGGGGAGAGTGTGACCAGTAGGTTGAGAGAGGTCATTCTGCCCCTTTACTCTGCACTGGTGAGGCCCCAACTGGAATACTGCATCCAGTTCTGTGCCCCCCAGTTCAAGAGGGACAGGGAACTACTGGAGAGAGTCCAGCGAAGGGCAACAACGATGATTACGAGATTGGAGCACGCCCCTTCCGAGGAAAGGCTGAGAGAGCTGGGACTCTTTAGCCTGGAGAAGAGAAGGCTGAGGGGAAACCTTATTAATGGTTTTAAGTATCTAAAGGGCAGTTTGAGGGAGGATGGAGCCGGACTCTTTTCAGTGGTTCCCAGTGACAGGACAAGGGGCAATGGGCGCAACCTGGAACATGGGAAGTTCCATTCAAATATGAGGAATAACTTCTTTTTGGTGAGGGAGACAGAGCCCTGGAACAGGCTGCCCAGGGAGGTTGTGGAGTCCCCTTCTCTGGAGATCTTCAAGACCTGCCTGGATGCAGTCCTGAGTAATGTGCTCTGGGCAACCCTGCTTTAGCAGGGGAGCTGGAGTTGACGATCTCTAAAGGTCCCTTCCAACTCCAACAATCCTGTGATTCCATGATTTTCTCCAGCAAGAGGAGGCTTTGTCAGCCTCCAGAGAAATTATAACACCTAAGCTGAGCATCAGTGCATGGGACAATGATACTATAGGAAGACAGTCAGAAAGTAGTGCCTCCCTCTCAGATGCCACCCTCGGGTCACCTGCTGGAGGCTGTATGCTGGAGCATTACCCTCAGTGCTGGGGGTACTGAGAAATGCTGGCTTCCTTGTCCACCTGCACTGTGCTGCTTGATGGACTGTCCCTGCCGCCTGCTGCTTTTCTCCCTTGTGACAGCAGCACGCTCATGCAGGGGTGCCACAGTCCTGTTGTTAGGAGGCTGGTTTAAATAAGAGCAAGGAGGACAGGTCCCAGGAAGATGTGCCCAGATGCCCTCTGGGAGTATCTCTTCTCCTGCTGGCAGTATCCAGTTGAACAGTGAATGGAGGCAGGCTCAGCCCTGCCCAAGAGAAGACACCTTGCTTGTCAATTTTGTTAGCTGTGTTGAGGCCATATTTTAATTTTTTATTAGAGCACTTCCCTTAGCAAATGCAAGCAACAGCTTTCCCAAGGGCCGCACCATTGACCTGGTGCTCCCATGGTCAGAAGGAACACATTTAGGCCAGCCCAAAGTGTTCTCTGTCCTCCCCTTTGAACAATGAACTACTCTGTAAAAATTAGAAATGTTTAAACAGTGAGGAACATCCCATGGCATCTGCTGTTAAATCTGGGCCAGGAATCAGCTGGGGTACAGGCCAAAGGTTTATTTGGACTGAGAGAAAGTACATCCCACAGCACTACAAGGATTGAAAGCACTACAAATTACCAGAGCAGGATTTTTCTCTGACGTAAACCGTTTAATTAGTAGGCACCCTGTAGGAGTGGTCCTGTGTGTAATTCACCTAAATGAGACCAGCACAAGAAGATACTTTTTGTCTCAGCAGGCAAGATTTCAGCTTTGCCTTGGGCTATAGAAATATCCTGGTGTAACCACAGAGCAGCCAAGCTGCCCTGGAGACTTGGTGTGACACAAAATCCTCTGACTCCCCTGAGTTTCTTGCTGGGAGAAGGGAGGTTGGTCATACCCACTCTGTGTCACTACACGGTGCAAACTCTATTGGTGGTATAAGTCCAAAATCACTTACGTGCTTATGAAAACCTCATGCTTACTGCTGTCAAATTCTGAAACGCTGTAGGATGAGAACAGGGGTGGGCTGTGTGGTTGCTTTGGTTTTTTTTTAATGTGTACATATTCATGACAACTATGTCCTCTTACTCGAGGCTGGGATTATAAGTTGGCTAAAAGAAGAGAGGTTTTTTGACAGTTTGAAAAATTTAAAATCACTACTCTGCGTGAGGTACAATCTGAGGCTTACCTTACTTGGTGAACATGTTTAAGTGATGCCTATCGATGTGTGTATGTATTTCGTAGGTATAGTATGGCTTCTGTGGCTCAGCACTCCAAAACCTGCTGTTCTTTTCTGAGGCTTATTTTGGTCAAAGCACTTCAGCAGCTGCAAACTTTTTTAGGATGCTTGTTGTTCTAGTTGTTCTCAAATTAGCATAAACAGTCATCAGAGCTTTTTCACGGATGTAGGGTATCCCTTGCGCTGCCTTCATCTCCATGTGTTTGTCCACCAGGGGCTGCCTGTTGTTCTGCATGTTGAAAGCAAAGTCGTATATTTGAGAGTCTAAGCAAGGATTACTGGGTGGGATTTTCTGCTAGCTCAACAACGGGCTAACACTCTCCCTGTTGATGTCAGCTGATGCCTGCACCCAGGAGCATCCATGCTGACTTCTTCTGAAAATCACACTCTGGGGATCTAACACACAGCTTTACTTCTGAAAATGTTGACCTCGCGCTGTGAAAATTCAACAAGGGGACATCAGAAAAAGTGTCCAAGCAGGACAGGCGCCTGTGATGTCTCTGCAGATACAGCCGTACAGCAGTAGTGAGGGTTTCTTTCTGCAACTGCACAGATTTCCAGAAGAATGTCTGGCTCATTAGCAGGGAAGAGCAGCAGGGCTGAAATTTCCCTCTCGGGCATCTCATATGCCTCCCAGAGGTTTCCCTTGGGAGGTTTAACTAAATTTTTAGCAAGTTGCTGGTCTAAGGACATAAGGAAACCCAGTGGGTTTTCCTGTTGCGCTCTAGTCAGGGTAGCACTAATGTTAACTGCATTATCCCTGGAAAGAGGGAGCAAAGCCTGAGGGTGGGATTCTTACCTGCAGCCATAAAACTCTTATTGTGCAGTTACCTTGAAGCACTTGAGCAACTTCAGTGAAGCCATACCTTTGTGCTTCACTGGCCAGAGTGACCGTGTCTTGCAGGACGGAGATGTGAATGGACTGCAGCTCAGGATGAGATGAAGAGGGACATCCCCATCATTTTGCTTTGGGCAAGCTGTAATCCTGTAATCCTTTTTCAGGCGCTGAGCTTCTCCCATGGGTTACCTGTCTCCTGTAGCGATGTAGTGGGAAGATGAGGGTGAGCACTGTTTCACTCAGAGTTGCAGTTAGGAAATGTTGTTTCCCCTCCATCTGAGCTGTTGCAGAGTTGTTTTCCCTCAGGCCAGGAAAGGGGACTGAATTTTCATTTATTATTGCGTGGTACCCGTATGGGAAGAATAACTCTTGTAGTGGTAGTGCAGAAGAACATTTTGCACATGCATGTGCACACACCCTGTGCATCTCTCGTGTGCAGACCTAACCGTGCAGGGCCTGAATGCGGTCCTTGCAAGACCTTTCCTCTGGGTGGCCTCCTATCCCTTTCACCAAGTGTAGGAACCTTCTTTCTGATAACCTTGAACTCAATTTACTCTAATCACTGAATCGCCGAAGCGTTTTTCATGCAATGCGCTAGAGACGCAGTCCCGGTCTCACTGCTTTGTGGTAACTCCTTAGTCTGCTGTGAAGCAGCATTGAGGTAATCACTAAATCTTCTCCAGCAGCGTGAAACTTGCTGTTCTGACTCTTGAGGTGGTCATTGTCTCAGGTTTGAGGCTGTCCTACTACCAGGGCACCCTGTTTTGTCCCTGGGAACATGCATGGCCAGAAAGCATACTCCTCAGTGGTCAGAGTCAGAGCTGTGTGGGCTTAAGTCAAGTCCTGGTTCATGGGAGGTGTTTCCACATGCTGCTGATGTCCATAAGGACTCAAACGTACGTGCTTACACAGAGATGCTTTCCTGAAGCAGAGTTGTCACTCTTTTCTACAGGTACCACAGGATGCCCTCCCTTATTCTGCTTCATGTAACTGGTACTAGAATGATCATTTCCTGATAAATGAAGGCACTTAATCAGTCCTCTTCGCCTTGGAAGAAGGACTTTTGGGGATATTGTTATATCATTTAAAATAATATTTTGGAATTTAAGTTTACATTGCTTTATTTTTCACTTGAGGTGACTGTATATAAATATTTTCCTCTATTTTATCATTGCTGATAAAGTAAGCCTACGGTATACAGACAAATAATTTGCCTTTGATGTATTGAAACTGTGAGATATAAAGTAGACTTCTCTCTTGTGTCCATGTTCCTGACTATAACTCTGTTCCTCTGTGTTTTTATAAGTTGGAATAAATGTTGCTTACGGGCAACAGAGAGCCTGCAAGCTTCCCAATAATTTTTATGTAATTGAAATCAAGCAACCCTAGTGAAGGATCTCACATATGTATAATGATATATGTATATGTACAAACTTTAGAAAGAAATAAACCAAATGTATTTCATCTTCTGCAGTTGAATTTGTTTTTTTTTTTAAAACTTACCATTGGTTCCTACGAGTAAGAACATGAAGATGTCTTTACCAGCTCATCCAGTAACCTTTGGCTGTCCTGCTCGGGGAAGATACAGACCAATTAGCTGGTGCAGCCCTTTCCCCAGTGCACCCTTGTGCCTTCTGGCAGTCAGCGGTTCCAAGGATTCCTGAGTGCATGTGCTGCCTGCCTTACAGAAACGCAGTCTGGACGTGAGCACCTCTGCCAGGGCAGAGGCCAGTGTGGCCCCACACAAATACACAGCAAATGCTCCTTAGTGAAGGAAGCAGGAGGTCACCAGCAGAGCCAGCAGTGCTGCACGCACACTAGTGCGAGGGCAGCTGGAGCGTGTCTCTCCTCCTTCTGCACCTCTGCAAGAGGGGACTTCCCTTCCAGGCTGTCACAGTGTGTGAAGCCTGCAGAGTTACCACCAGTTACTGTGAAGACATGCCAAGAAGGGGATTAACTAATTAAAAATGGGTTTGCCAGCACCACATGGGTTGGAAGAGGAAGGCTAGAGGAAATACCTGTTCCAAGATGATTGGGAACTGACCTCAAAATTTGCATGAGGTAGTCTGTTTGAGGGCACTGTTGAGGCTGGGGATTGCTGTTGGCCTGGTGAATGGAAAGCAAGGACCCATGACCCAGGAAAGTTGCCACTAAAGGAAAAAGGGGAGTGGAGAAAGAC